ATATATATATATATATATATATATATATATATATATATATATATATATATATATATATATATATATATATATATATATAATCTTTCACGAGAAGATTCTCGAATTTCCTCACAATGTATTTTTGACCTAATGTTAAAATATTTTTTCCTTCCTTTTACTATGAAACAATCCGTCGGTTGAATTTGTCTAATTAAAATATTTTTAATAATATTAAAAAATATTGTGCTTCAGTATTTTATATAGATTTTATGTTTATAGTTTTTTCAATAATACTCAAAAAATATTATAATATAATATAAAATATTATATTATAAATATTTTTATATTATGTTACAATGTATTTGTAGTATTACTGAAAACACCGAAATGAAGTATAAAAATATTATAACTTTATCGGTCGATAATAAAAAAATAAAGTGATTAGGAGGATTTTAGGTATTAGATATAAGAAACAAGTACTATTAATAAATGATGAAAACGAAGGATGCTTTTCGGGAAAAACATCCAAAACATTGTTTCTTATATATCAATTCGTCCTGACCGGGCAAAGATGAGAGCAAAGGCATTGGAGGAGACATGGTCGAGGGAAGCGGCAACAAGAAGCACATAATTCTCGTCCATGGCGCTTGCCATGGAGCATGGTCTTGGCACAAGGTGACGACGCTGTTGAGGTCCGCGGGGTACCAGGTCACGGCGCTGGACCTCGCGGCCTCCGGCGTCGACGAGCGGCGGTTCCAAGACCTGAGCACGTTCACCGACTACACGCAACCACTGTTGGACGTAGTGGCTTCCCTTCCACCTGGTGAGAGGGTCGTCCTCGTAGGCCACAGCCTCGGAGGCATGAATATTGCTCTGGCCATGGACAGGTTCCCCGAGAAGATCGCTGCCGCGGTGTTTGTCGCCGCCTTCATGCCCGATTCCGTCAACCCGCCTTCCTACCTCCTCGACAAGGTACGCCGTTCTGCTAAGATCTGTCACCCTTCTCATCTTTGTCCTGGCTGCAATCCCAGTTCCCGCTGATGTATGCCTTCTGCTACTTGCCTGCTACACCGACAGCTTAAACAGGAGAATACCATGTCATATTGGCTTGACACTCAATTTGGGTTAGCCGTCGGGGAAAGAGAGAGAGGCCCGACTTCCATGCTGTTTGGTCCCCAGTTTTTGTCCAAGCTTTACAAGCTCAGCCCACCCGAGGTACGTATCCACGCACCACCGTTCATGTTCTGCGAGTCATTCTACTGCTATGTCTGAACACAACAGCTGAGTAATCGTGAGCTTCTCGGAAGGATCTCACGCTGGCGATGACCCTCGCGAGGCCTTCTTCCTTTTTCCTCGAAGACCTGGTGTCGATGCCGCCCTTCTCCGAGTCAGGATACGGGTCGGTCGAGAAGGTCTACGTGGTGTGCGCTCATGATGAAGGCATCAGCGAAGAGTTTCAGCGCTGGATGATCAAAAATAACCCAGTGAAAGTGGTGAAGGAGATCGAGGATGCTGACCATATGGCCATGTTCTCAACACCGAAGCAGCTCTTCCAATGCCTCTCTGATGTTGTCGATGCCAGTGCTTGATCACGTGTTACCTACCTCTTACTTTTCTGTCTCTCCATCACTTAACATCTACTGTCATCGAGACCTCCTTTTTCTTCTCCTTTACCTTTCGCAGACCAATTGATGGGAATGGTCGGCCAGGAATAAAGTTCGTTTACGTCTGCCCATTAGTAATGCCGCAGATGTGTTTCATGCGTAATGTCGTTATCTTAATCTGGTCAAATGAGGTCAAGCTACTCTATTTATGATCCGCGATGTCATCATGTCATTCATTGTGATATTTTCGGTACGGACCCATTTAATTTCGTGAGAGTTAAAATATATATTAAATATTTATTTTGGGTTTGATATGATTTTTGATATCTGGATAATCTATCGAGCATGAGAATTAACAAAATTAAATCTGTGAACCTTATCCATTGTTAACTTTAGAGAATTCTAACGCTCGATTGTCTACCAATGGAAAACCAAAAAGAAGGTTGAGTTTGTAAAATGGGTGAATTCCTAGAAAACCCTTAGATTTTTTTTCATTGATGCATCTTTTTATTTTTTATTTATTAGTGTTTTAATTTTTTTTAATTCAAAAAATATGATAGGCTAAAAAGATTTCTGATAAGATGAATCGATTTATTTATAATATTTTTGTATAGACTTAAAAATACTATAATTATCATACAAGTTAAGTTTCTTTTGCATATTCTTATTTTAAAATCACTAAAATATCTATTTCCAATCTTATGGAGGATAAGTTAGTTTGTATTATATTTGAAGTTTTGTTTGTTTTCTATATGTTTATAGTGTTTTTTTATATCAGTGGCCTTCTATATATTTTTTGCATATTCTTTTCAAACTAATAAAAATATGTACTGAAGTGACACAAAGTATTATATTTTATTTTTGAGTTTTTGTTCCTCAGTTATTTTGTTGTTATATACAGTTACAATATTTTTACTAAGGTGTCAAAAAATATTATAACTCAGTTTAAAACAGTATAACTAAAATGGTTAGTATCACTGACTACTCCAATATAAAGGGTGGGAGTATGTCAACAGCATTTTAAGGATATAAAAAAATGAAACAATAAGATAAAAAAAAAAGGGCACCTCATAACGCTCGCAAAGTTGAGAAAGCAATCCTTATCGAGGACGCCACTCGAAAAGCTGAGAAAGCAACAACTTGAAGCCATTGGCCGCCATGGTTTCTTATCTTTTCTGCTTGCCTTCTTATCTTTTCTGCTTGCTTCTACGTGTCAGTTCCACTATCTTTTCCTGCCCCTCATCCACCATGACAACTTGTCTTAAACATTATTTTAGTCCCCAATCGCTCTACCAATATTATTAGTGGGTATATAATGATCATTAGGCGGAGCAATCTATAAGCATCATTTGCCATAGCACCTCCAAATGAATCATGGAGAAGGAATGGGCGACGGGAGCTGCAACAAGAAGCACATAATTCTCGTCCATGGCGCTTGCCATGGAGCATGGTCTTGGCACAAGGTGACGACCCAGTTGAGGTCCGCTGGGTACCAGGTTACGGTGCCCGACCTCGCGGCCTCCGGCGTCGACGAGCGGCGGTTCCAGGACCTGCGATCGTTCATCCACTACTCCCAGCCGCTCCTGGACATATTGGCCTGCCTCCCCCCTGGTGAGAGGGTCATTCTGGTAGGCCACAGCCTCGGAGGCCTCAACATAGCTCTGGCTATGGACAGGTTCCCTGAGAAGATCGCCGCCGCCGTCTTCGTCACCGCCTTGATGCCGGATTCAGTCAACCCGCCCTCCTACGTCGTCGACAAGGTATTGCTAATCGAATTCCGATGCACATGTCAGACCTGTTCTTATAATTTTATTGACTGGCGTGCTTTCCTTACAGCTTAAAAACGAAAAAACCATGTTATTTTGGAGCGACACACAATTTGGCTTGGTCGGGGACGAAGATAAAGGTCCCGTTTCCCTGCTATTCGGCCCCAAATTCTTATCCAAGCTTTACACGCGTAGCCCACCCGAGGTACGTATGCATGCACAACCATTCATCTTCTGCGAGTCATGCTACTACTGTCAGGGCTGAACAACAGTTGTGAAACCATGAAATGGTTTTTAAGGATCTGACGCTGGCGAGGACCCTCATGAGGCCTTCTTCCTTCTTCCTTGAAGACCTCGGGTACATGCCTCCCTTCTCCGAGTCGGGTTACGGATCGGTGGAGAAGATCTACGTGGTGTGCGCTCAGGATGAGATCCTCACGGAAGGTTTTCAGCGCTGGATGATCGAGAACAACCCAGTGAAAGAGGTGAGAGAGCTGGAGGACGCTGACCATATGCCCATGTTCTCAACCCCGAAGCAGCTGTTTCAGTGCCTCTCGGATGTTGCCGACGCCTGTGCTTGATCCTCCCTGGTTTTACTATTACAAGCCACCGAATACAGTGGCCATAGTAAAGAAGATAGTTGTACGTGCGTTGCCGCTATGATCGATGCATTAATATTTTAATAAAAGTATTAAAATATCAAAAATAATAAAAATAACAAATTTAAAACTAATTTATCTAACTATAAAGTCAATAGTAATATAATAATATTAATATTTATATATTTTTAGAATATAAAATTTAAAAGTATTTAAGATACATAGAAATAAATTTGAAAGGCCTATATGATCAGTATTTTTTATTTTTTATTTTTAAAATATTTTATTTACTAATTTTGACACTTAAAAAAAGATAAATTTATACAGAAAATATTAAAAAAAAACATAAATAGATGGATAACTCCTAGTATCACATTTTTGGTTTGACCTATTTTCTCCATGTTTGACTTTGGTGTACTATACACCTGAATTTGGAATACAACATTTGACTTTGATTATAAAAAAATAAGTCTAGTTTATAATACATTGTTTTTAGGATCAAACCGAAAACAGTGTATTGCATATAAGAACTAATCCAAATATTCTAAATTTTTTTATAAAAGCTATGAATTGAGCTAAGATGGATATCAATCACCTTTTCTCAAATTTATTTATTTTATTTATTTAGAACCTGAACAATTTATTATTATTTTTATATTTTTTCATTCTTTTCATAAAAATATGATGGATTCATATAATATTTTTTAATATTTGAACTTCTAAATCGATGGATAACCTATGGTATGAGTTTGGCCCAAAAAAATGAAGCCTTGATATCCTATACACTATTTTTGTGATCAAACTAAAAGTAGTGTCTCGTATAGAAGGACTACTCCAAATATTCTAATTTAATTTTTTTGATATTTTTCTAATTTATTCAGAATCTAATCATTTTATAATTTTATATTTTATATTTTTTTTATTTCCACCAAAATATATTGGATCCATGTAATATTTTTTTCAAATTTAAGCTTTTCAATCGATGAACAATTTATGATAAAAATTTGATCCAAAAATATTAAGCCTTGATATATGATGTATTATTTTTAGTATCAAACCAAATATAATGTATTGTATACAAGGACTTGTCCAAATGCTCTATAATTTTTTCAAAGCTTTCAATTAGACCAAATATTAGTATCAAACCAAATATTAAGCCTTGATATTTATCACTATTTTTATATTTTAAAAATTTTTTGATATTTTTTTATTTATTCAAATTCTGAACCGTCTATGATTTTTCTATTTTCTCTAAATTTATTTCATTTCTACCAAAACATGATCAATCCATATATTATTTTTTAACATTTGAACTTCTAAATAGATGAATGGTATATAATAAAATTTTAGTCCAAAAAAATAAAATAACCAATATATTATGTTTTGGGTTAAATAAAAAAAGTGTACTGAATACAGTTGAAATACTCTAAAATCTTTATAAAGCTTTAAATTGGATCCAAATGGATATTGAACAGTACATGGTTTCTTTATTTTCTCCATTTTTTTTATTTTTCACAAAAATATGGAGGATTCATGAAATGTTTTATAATATTTAAAATTTAAATAAATAAAAAACTATGGTAATAATTTGATCTAAAAAAATTAAGCATATAATATTTTTTTGC